GCAGCCCCCAGGGGCTGCCGGCTAAGCCCGGGCGGGAGGCTGGCTCGCTCTGAATGGCTTTGCCAGGAACACCCCTGTGTCAGCCTCTCCCAAAAGCCACTTTGTGCCGCGTCTTGTAGCTCCCCAAAACTCTCTGCAGCCCTTGGAAAACCTTACACTGGGCAGTACACTGACCATTGGGCTGCGGAATTAGTGCTCGAAAGCCGTGTCCTGTGAGGTATGTGCGCGCTCTTCAGCGCTGGGAGCTCAGGTCCAGAAACAACAAAAGTTTGTTCTCAGAAAATGGGGGGGGGAGAGATCTAGATTTAGAAAGAGAAGGGGGAAAAGTCCGGCAACTCTACAGAAATGAGCGAGCAAGAGGCTGAGTATTTCTGATATATCACAAGTTGGCTCTGTTTCTCTTTTTCATACAGATACCGCAAGAAAATGGCATTTTTATTAGGGAGGAGCTGTACAGAATTACAGTTGCGTGGCTATGCTCAGTAGAAAGTGTCACCTTAACTTTTCTTTTCCTTGTGTTATGTTTGCTTTTCCGTGTTTGACTTTGAGGCATTTTTGTTTGGTTGGTTTCTGTTTTTCTTTTCTCCTTTGTGGATGTAAAGGGTTTTGTATGTGAATTTCCCTTGTTTTGGGACAAAGTGGGTGTAATGAAGGATGATTGAGATACATTTGTAGGATGGCTTTCTGTGCATGGCAAGCTGCTCTACAGGTAACTCCAAGTCATGGCCCCTTTCATACTGGAGCTGTGTCTCCCATGAGGGTCTGAATGAATGTAGTGCTTTACATTCTTCTTCTTTCCCCAAAAAAACTATCCAGTGGAATGGCCTTCCTTCCCAGTATTACTGCAAACTGTGAGTCTTAAGTATCCTGCATCTTTTTCTGCATCTGTTATGTTACCTTCTTGGTAGCTCCTCTCCACAAATAGAACCCCTCTGGATCCATTCACCACCCTAAGCAGCCATGACACATGGCTTCAGAGGCAGATTGGCAGATGTTACACTCTTCTGTGGCAAGCTAATTTGAAAGAGGGAGGTTAGCTAGCATGTGACATCTATTAAGCTTTGGCCTCTCAGCTTTCCTTCCTTCGTGTCTCTCTGAATCCCTTCCCCTAACATCTTTGGACTTGCTAGAAAAAGTTTCAGAATTAAATCTCTCACGTTGCTCTCCAAAAGCACCTAGGCTGCGTCTAGACTGGCAAGTTTTTCCTCAAAAGCAGCTGCTTTTGTGGAAAAACTTGCCAGCTGTCTACACTGGCCGCTTGAATTTCCGCAAGAACGCTGACGATCTCATGTAAGATTGTTAGTGTTCTTGTGGAAATGCTATGCTGCTTCTGTTCGGGCAAAAGCCCTCTTGTGCAAATGCTTTTCCGCAAGAGGGCCAGTGTAGACAACGCGGTATTGTTTTGCGCAAAAAAGCCCCGATGGTGAAAATGGCAATCGGGGCTTTCTTGCGCAAAACCGTGTCTAGATTGGCACGAATGCTTTTCCGCAAAAAGTGCTTTTGCGGAAAAACGTCCGTGCCAATCTAGATGCTCTTTTCCGCAAATGCTTTTAACGGAAAGACTTTTCTGTTAAAAGCATTTGCGGAAAATCATGCCAGTCTAGACGTAGCCCTAGAGTCATGCTGAAATTATACTTTGTGTCCCAGAATTTCCTGCACCTCCAAAATAATGTCACATTTCCTTTAATACACTTTCAATTTCTGAATTCTGTCTATCCTTCTCAAATGAAACACATTCCTTCCTTCCTTCTTTGAACCCAATGCACGCCGCTGCTCCATGTCTCTCTGCATTCCCTTTACTTTTGAAAGTAGAGGAACATACCCTTTTCTCTCTGACCTCACACACTGTGGTCAAGTACAAACACATTCAAGAAAAGACAGAACAATGCTCAAAAACATACTGTTATTTCTCCTGTGTAGTGAGTGGAGTTGCTATTACAGCACATGGGAAAGGACATTCCAGGCACTTCTTCTAGTCCTACTATACCATTATCTCTGTAGTCTCTGAAATAGAAAACATTTTTAAATACATATTCTCATTAGCGCTGGCTCTCCCATTCAGTCCTTCTTGCCCCCACCTCCCAGCTATATACAGCTAAGAGTGGCTGAGAGGGATATGATCCAGTTGCTGTGAAGAGATGTTATATCTGTTGGCCAATGAAATACAGTGTTCATTGTGCGGTCCTTCCTCTCTTGTACGTTCATCTTTTCTATGAAGTGCTACCAGACGATTTGTTGTTTTTTAAGCTTATCCTATACAGACTAACTCGGCTACCCCCTGAAGCATCTTTACTGTATACTTCATGGTGACTTTTCTGTAGTCTACCTCCACAACCATGTATGTGAACTATTACTGAGACTGTGGTACTGTCTCTTTAAAATGGGTCTTATCATGTCCTCCCATTACCACTTTGTCAGGTTTCTCTGGCATGTAGGAGCCATCTTGTTATGTGTATGCATAAAAGAGAAACATGTACCTGTGTAACTCTATGTTCCTGACATGCAGAGGCTGTAGCTCCCTCACAAAGACAGGGACTCTTCCAGCTACATGACTGTGCTAGCAACAATGTAGGGCGGCAGAAGAGAGACTCCGTTCTATAGGAAGTGGCTATTTTTTTTGCCAGGATGCAGTGTAAATGGTGCAAACTGTCACACGCAGACAAGACGCTGCCATCCACAGACCAGCCGAAACCAAACAGAAGGCACAGCATATGAAGACAAGTGAGTATACAAAAGTGATGGCAAAAGTAAAGCAGTTAAACTAGAAAATTGTTTGTTTGTTTGTCTTTTTAAAAATCCTGTACAGGAAGGTTTGCAAGCCCACCCCACTTTTACCCTTTTGTAAATTTTGCTGAAAATTGAATGAGATGGGAATAAACCTTTCAGATTTATAAGAAAACCCCAGGAACAGGTTTTAAGAGCACAAGGCATAAAAGTAGTTCTTTTACTGCACCTAGAGGGAGTGGAAGTTCTGGAAGTTTATAGCACTCTCCCAGCAGTCAGGTGAAAATGCTCCCACTTTCGATGAGATCTTAACAATGCTTAGGGATTTTTGTAACCCTAAGAAAAATTTTGTGTTTGAATGGTACCAGTTTTGTAGTGGTCTCACCTACACTTAGGGGAAGAACAGACAGAGCTGTTCAAGAGCTCAGACAAAGAGCAAGAAATTGAGTGTTTGTAAATACTGAAAATGATTTTCTTATATACAGTACTGTGTTCGGTGTCAAGGGCTAACAGAAATCTTGAGGAAACCTGATTGGGCTTGCAGAAAGCACTTGCAGAGCCTCACAAAGACACAAATAGAGTGTCATCTACTGTTGTCGGTGTCATACATTGGCAAGTTTGCAGAGTCTGTTACACAAATGAATATTCAGAGCATTGTGGGTGGGGCCCAGCCACTATCGAGTTGGGGCAAAGCAGATACACCAACTGTTCACACGAAAACTGTACACACTGTTATATGACACACCTACCCATAGGCTGCCTGTCTTTGGAAAAACATGTCACAAATGTGGAAAATGTGTTCAATGTTCTATGTGCAGAATACACTTACCCAAAATGCAAAGCTGCAAATCTCTGTCACAACTAGAATGTGAACAATCTCTGTGTTATCACAGGGAAGGAGAATTCATATAGCTCACTCAGCAGAACCTTGGTATTCTATGCTGTATGTAAGGAATGTCCTTATAAACTTGAAGTTGAATGAATTCTTTCCTGATACCTAATGAGGAGCTGAGGAAAATGACTTTATGTAACCAAAGCTTCCAAAACTAATCTTGGCTGCATGCCTAGGTGATCAGTTTTGGCTGGTGTTGGATTGCAGATTGGGTGTAGGGGTGAGGAAAGATTGTTGTCTTTGTTGTGTGAGTGGTGGCAGCAGAACTGGGCTTGGCCTGCCCTGATTGAGAGGGGTCACCCTCAACTAAACTCCGCTCACTTAGCAGTAGGTAAGGGTGCCAAAGACTAGTGGAGGAGAGAGTTGGGGAGGCGCCTTGCCCAAAGAGTCTTAGACATCAGCCTGAACTTTTTAGTCTCTCTACTGAGTTCTGATGAAGTGAGTTTTACTCATGAAAGCTCGTGATCATATATATATTTGTTAGTCTGTAAGGTGCAATAGGATGTTGTTTTTAAAGTTACAGACTAACATGGCTGCTCCTCTGAGACTTCATATTTCTTTTGTTCTTTTTGGTTGTTTCTTAGGCCGTTTTGTATTGTGTTTATTCCCTTTGTTTCTTGTGTTCCTCCTTTCTCAGTCATTCCTTCAACAATTGTGTTCCTGTGTTCCCCTCATTGTTTTGAAGGAATTTTTTCCCTAAGCGTCATCAGTAGGGTTGCCAGATGTTTTCAACAAAAATACCAGTTGCACTTGACATAATATCACAATCTACATTACATCTTATTTAGAAAATACTGGACATTTATATTTTCTCGTAAATATTTTCTCAATTTGTTTCCTGAACAGAAAGCTCAAATACTGGACTGTCTGGTTCAAAATCGGACACCTGGCAACCCTACTCTTCAGACCAATGCTGCACTCAGAGGAGTAACTTTAGTTATTTAGCTTCAGCATCTCCTAACTGTAGAATGTCCTAGTGGCACACAAAACAACCCTCCCCGCCCTCCTCCACCACTCCCTCCGCTGCCTGTCCAGGGCAAGGTGTTTCACTCTACTTCAAGTTGTCTCTGTGATGCCAGCATCACTTCTAGTCATGCTGTTCAGAGAAATAGCTGTATTTCCAATTGACGTTTTTGCCATTTGCACCCTATTGTGCTCTTTTTGGTTTTCCTCTTTCCCAGGCAATGAAGCTTCTGGGGGGCATTAACAGCAATGGATTGTAGATTGTGTTGCCATTGCTGATACAATCGTTGTAGTATTTGAGTCCAAGTGAATCTGGATCTGAATTTGATGTGAAAAATAGAAGATAGAGGCAGATTTATGAGTCCAAGTGAATCTGGATCTGAATTTGATGATGTGAAAAATAGAAGATAGAAGCAGATTTGTCCAAAAGATATTTGAGAAACTGCCCCAGGGAGGGGAATGATTGGGATTTTTATTGTCAGGATTATTTTTCCTTTGTTGTAATGAAGACAATCCTGAGAAACAACATCCTCATACCCCACTAGGCATCTGGCTTCAATCTCTCTCTGCAGACACTGAATGCTTCCTGTACAGCAGCTTTGCAGCACAGTTTGACCTTCTCCTTTCACCCAGGTTATTTCCTACTGTTGCTACAGCTCCCTGAATGAGAAGAACCAGCCAACTGGGAAAGGGCAGGGGGAAGGTTTTTAAACAGGACTCCAGAGTAAAGCTACTGGAACAAAACTGTGGCACCCAAGGACTTCCCTGTTGCCACTTTGCTGAACTGCAAGGCCCCTCAGAACTGTACTGTGACTGAGCATAGCTCTTGGCTTCTCTTACCCCCAAAACCCAGGCCTCGGTGACTGGAGCTAAAGGAGATTCTTCACTAGCTTTGAGCAATGCAGGGCCTAGGATACTCAACTCAACCTTTCTCATTCCATCCAACTATGCCTTGCAATGTATACATGTACTAGACAGCGGAGTACAGTGTCAGTGGTGGTTTATAATGGTGATGACTCCTGTTTGCTCCCTGCACCTCTTTAGCCACCTTGTTATGGTAGGGATGAATACAAATCACAATGTGCATGTGAACAATGAATCATTGCAAATCATTGCAGCAGCCATTGTCAGCACACTGGGGTTCTGTGTGGAGCCTGAGTCCCCTGAAGCACTTCTTCCTGCTAAGAAAGTTCCTGAGGCTGGGACCTCTCCCCAAATGAGATTTGGCCCCCAGATAACCAAGCCCAATAATTTTGGATCATTCCCCTATGCAATGGTCCTAGTCAGACACCTGGAACGTTAGCTCCCTCCCCCTGCACAGAAAACGCTTTCTGTCCCTAGGTAGGAACGTTAGCTCCCTCCCCCTGCACAGAAAACACTTTCTGTCCCTAGGTATTTACAGTAATAGAGAGGTAGCCATGTTAGTCTGATCTTGCTATTCCCTCCCTCCCCTCTCCCTCAACCCACCTTCTGTACTAAATCTGATTTGTCAGTTTAATAACGTGTTCACTTTTTTCATTGTATTCCTTTAGTATATATGGTCGGGCCAATTCTCTTCCAGAATATGATCTGAGGAAGTAGGTCTGGACCATGAAAACTCATCACCTATTAAACCATCTTGTTACTCTTTAAAGTGCTACATCGTTTTTCCTTTTGTTTTAGGTATTTATAGAGCACCCAGCAGCATAGAAACCAGGCACTGTGTTAATACACCTCTCCTGGCCTGTCCCTCCAAGGGGCCCCTCACTACCCTCCTTCTCTCCTCCATGTAATTAAGTAATCACAATGGAACAGGTAAATCAGAGAGGTCTTTGTGCTGTGGAGCAGAATGTATCTTTGTGTTTCCTCCTCATTCGTGTCCCAGACTGATCCAGCCTCTCTCATTCCAGTTGTGCTTGAAAGCACAATTGCTCTAGCAGGGGCATGGCCATTGTTGGTGGCAAGGTGCTTTCAGGCTTCATCCCTCTCAGATCATCCCTACAGAAGGTAAGGGACGGGAGTGATGTGAACAAGCTACTCCATGGGCAGAGAAGGCAATGAGCTGTCTTACCCTGGGCTGGATATGAGGAGGGGCCTGGCCAGCCAGCCACTGTTCTGAGTCATGTGGGCATTCTCTAGAGCAGGGCTGGGGAACCTTTTTTGTGTCAGGTGCTGCTGACCCACAGAAAAATCAGATTGGGGCCACACACAAGTGAAAAGAAAAAAACCCTCACTTGTGTCCCCCAACTAAGGAAAAAGACACTCCGGACGTTCACCTTACACAACAGAGCCTAGGGGAGCCCAACCTAGTAGATTTTGTGTGCTCCAACCCCATGGTGGGGCAGCAGGGTGGCTGGAGCGCCAGCACAGGCTTTCCAATGCTGGAGGGGACCCTGAGCCTCTGAGCAGGGTGGCTGGAGCGCCAGCACAGGCGTTCCAATGCTAGAGGGGACCCTGAGCCTCAGGCCAGATCCAGGCAAGCTGGAGCTGCATTTGTCCCCAGGGCTGAAGTTCCCCACTCCTGTTCTAGAATCCACCTGGCTTGGACAAAGTGCCATCTCCTTCATTAGGTAAAATCAGAAACCAGTATTCCTAAGTGCCATCTCCTTCATTAGGTAAAATAAAAAACCAGTATTCCTCTAATCTTTTTATCCATGTGTGGAATAAATTTTATTTGCACCAAGCAATGCATGAATGTGCACCACCAGTAGAAACAAATATCTAGCTATGATTGCTCTGCTAATCAGCTGGGTGGCATTTGAAGCTCTCCAGAGCAGCTATACAGGTACACAGCTTGCAGGGAACACTGCTAGTGAGCCACTTAATGAAACAAACGTACCAAAGTTTTGTGTGGATTTCCTGACAAACTGCTGCAGGCTAGTTTAGCTGTGCATGTACGCATGTGTACACAGACATACACACACCAGATTTTACAGGTATGAGTTTGAAAATTTGCCCTCGGAGATTATTTCGCAGTTCCCACTTGACCACTAGATGGCACTGTGGTTCCACAAGACTAGAACTACTACTAGGCCCACCAGTTAAGAAAGAGGTAGATAATAATGGGCTTTTCTGCAGGATCTGAGAGGCCTCTTATGTTTATTGCTTATTAATAATCAAACCTCTTTCCCATTTTCTTGTTTAAAGCTTCAGCATGATTGTGTGCTGATGAAGGTGGAAAAAAACCAAGAACAATTGTGTCCTCTTCTAGATGGAGAACATAAATTCAGAGAGGTATTTTTTTTTTTACTGATGTTATATATGTATACAAGCTTTAAAAAGCTGCCTTGTGAAATTGTTTAGTCTCAGGGCAAAAACTTGTAAGAAGATAACTTTAAAGAAATTGATTAGGTGAACAGTGTGATGATACCATGGAAAGTGGGAGCCCCATGTGTTTGGAACCCAGCTCAGTAGGTCTTTGTTGGACAGAAATTGATATTAAAAGAAAATATCTAATACCTGCCTTTGTCCTCCCGTTATCAGGTCTCACAGAAGAATATCACTTTCTCCTCAGTTAAGCAAGAATTTCCTGTGTCCAACATCATATGAGCGTCAGTAGTGATCTAAAATTACCACAGAAGATACAGGATGCCTGGCTGAGATCCCTGTTTATTTATGTATCTGGGTCATTGTTAGGGTTTTTGCTGTTGGTCCGTTACCACAATTGACAGAGGCCTTCTCCCAGTTTGTGTTAGATATTAGACCCATGTTGTACCCAGATGGGACCAAAGGTAGCTCTGCTTTGGGAAGGGATCCAAAATGGGGAGATTTCAAGGGAGTTTCACCAAATATTTAGTAACTCACTGAACATGTCAGATTCTTCTCATGAGTTTATAGATCAGCCCTGAAGACAGATCATTCTCAACCCAGGGGATAGTAAAAACCCCTGCATCTTTCCACTGAGGAGGCAAGAGATCAGAATGTTATATCCTGAATGGAAGATCATAGGCTAGCTTGTATTACAGTTGGAATGATTTTGGGTGAGTTCTTGCTCTCGCATGCCAAGGAAAATACAGGCCCTAGAATGCATGTTATGATTTTATGCGCAACTTTGTTATCAGTATTGCTCCTTTTTATCACTCGAGCCTCTGTTTTTTGTTAAAGAAAACCTTTCTCACTAAATAAATCTCTGTGTCATGTGTAAAGCAGAGCTGGTTCGTGGTAAGCTCTGCTGAATAGCTCTTTGGAAGTGGCAGCTCTGGAGCACCAGGGAGCCAGTGTCCAGTGGATCAGGGCTCAAAACTGCAGGTGGATGCTTGGAGGGCTTGGATTGGAGTCAGTGTTCCCTCTAAGCTGCTCGCCTGCGTGGCCGCCCATAGAGCACTCTCCACTCACTTTTTTGCTGGACCTGAAGGTGAGAGGTAGCAGCAGTGGCAATAGTGAGCTGCTGGGGCCACGTGACAGCAAGTGGCTGCCTTGCCCCCAGTTTGCTTCATTGAATGTGGTGTTTGGGGTTCTTTTCCAGATGAGCATGTCTTGCTGAGTGCAGCACAGTCCGTGGTCTTACTTTACACTCTGGAACCAGCTACAAGTCTGCAGAAAATGGGCTCATCAAGTGGGGATTTTCAAAAGCAACTTAAGGACATACATGCTATTGAAAATCAGGGGGATGTGCTTCTGGGGCACTTTTGAAAATCCCACTCAGCTGAACGTGACTCTAGAACCAGAATTTTTGCAGATTCAGGATTTGAAATTTCACATAGTGTTGATGCTCCAAAAACAAAAAAGATATTTAAGAGAGTTTCGTAAAAAAGTGAAATTTGTGGGCATGACATTGCCTAAAACACAGTGAAAATGTCTGTGCTTAATTCTACCGTGACATTTTCATCAGTTTCATGCACCAACAGTGCTTTGTCGAGCAGGCAACAAAAGGAAGAGGGATTAAGTGTGGATTTTTCCCTCTTAGCACAACCAAAATTCTCATTAAAGACAATGGGGCACATTCTGATCTCTCTCACGCCAGCATAAATCAAGAGTCACTGCTATGAAGTCTATAGTTACTCCAGTGAAGGAGATAGGGTAAGGGGGGGGAAGTCTATAGTTACTCCAGTGAAGGAGAGAGGGTAAGGGGGGTGTAGGATTACTCTTCATGGGGCAAAACAGGTTGATGTTTCAATGGTACCACATGTAATTCATAGAACCTCCATTTCAGGACTGGCCTCTTGTCATCCTGTAGAGAGAAACATTTTTGGGGGCAAAAACTAGGCTTCCCCTGCCCCAGATTTCCCCTTTTCATTGCTGTGACAGAGAGTTCCATCCGTCAGGCTCATAGGGATTAAAAACTGTGATGTTACCCTCTACTGGTATTGGTGGAAGTGTTTGAAATAAAATACAGACTGGACACTAAAAAAAGTGGGTCTGAGCATATTCTGGAGAATCAGAGAGCAGTCCCCTGTTACAAGTGCTTTTGTGGTTTCTCCTCTCCTCACACACCAAACCTAGAATGTGAACTGAGGAAAGGAGACAGTCAGTTTATTTCCCTGTGCAGTCTCTCATACTGTAGCCTATTTGTAAATGTTACACTTACAACCTGACTGCACATTGTGACTGTGCAGTAGGTAACTTGGTGAGATTCAGCCCCAGTCTGTATGTCTCCTCCACAAACCACCTCCAGTTCTGCAAGACCATATGCTAGCCTGGTTCCACACTCAGACACAGAACCATGGCTGGTGAAAGCATGTTATATTCCCCTTAATAAACTGTCTACTTGGGTCCTAGATATCTTGTTCTCTCTGCATGCTTTTGTAACGCAGAACTGAAGAATGTTTATTGCTAGTAAACTGTATGGCATTTCACTATTTGTAGTGCATGAGTAACTTCATACCCCAGATGATCAATTCCAAAATGTCAGGGAATGTTCTAGACATCAGTGGACCAAATCTGTAGTTTTTAAAACATCGAGAACTAGAAAAGCCTTCCATTGGAGCAAGTGTGGTTTAAATTCAGGCCTACCACATGCCCATTTGGTGCTACAGGCCTACACAAATCCCAGGCAGTTGATTAATAATGCTGCTCTATTCCATTAGGTGGATAGCTAGACCTATGTAAGCAATGATGTGTGCAGTTTCTAATTAGAGCTACAGGCCAGCCCAAAAACCGTAATTAAGGGCAATGGAGTTATGTGCAACTCTAGAGTGAATCCGTGGACTTTTGAGGGCAAGGTAAACTATCTGCTTCACAGCTCTGCCAGTGGCCTTCTGTCCTGTCCTGCCCTGCAGTCCCCTCACAGCTCAGCCAGTGTCTCCCTCTCCTCCCCCCACACTCATCCTTTACAAGTAAGGGGAGGATAAGAAGGGGATTGTGCCATGTAAAGGACAGGACCTTATCTGCCTTGTCTATCTCTCTGCACCTTTACATAACCTCAGTCCACTACAAGGCAAACAAAAGGGAAAGTTGGTCCCACATCCTTGAGTTTCCCCCTCCTTCCTCTTCTTGATCCTTGTCCCTTAAGTATACCATTTCTAAGTCAGCGCTCAGTTCAGAGAATATCATAATTACATGAATGCAGCTAACGCAGGATGGGACCCGCAAAAAGAGCGTCTAGATTGGCACGGATACTTTTTCACGAAAGCATCCGTGCCCAGTATAGACGCGCTTTTGCACAAGAAAGCTCCGATGGCCATTTTAGCCATCGGGCTTTCTTGCATAAAAAATTAAGGTGCCTGTCGACACTGGCCCTCTTGCGCAAGTATTCTTGCGCAAGAGGGCTTATCCCTGAGTGGCAGCATCAAAGTATTTGTGCAAGAAGCACTGAATTCTTACATGAGAACGTCAGTGCTCTTGCGCAAATTCAAGCAGCCAGTGTAGACAGCTGGCAAGTTTTTACGCAAAAGCATATGCTTTTACGCAAAATCTTGCCAGCCTAGATGTACCCAAGGTGTTTAACTGCCCTGACAGTTATGTCATGTGACTGTCCCCTCATCAGTCTGACCCACATCCTGTTTCTGGGACCAACACACAGTTTAGTTTGTTCAAAGTATCCCTTGATATCAGAGCATTAAAACAAGGAAGGGAGGTCCTGACTGAACACTAAATGGTGTGGCAAGGCACCTCCTCCACCTCGGCAGTCTCACTGTTGCCTCTCTGTTAGGGGGGGCTTAGAGTAAATGAGCCCTGCTCCAGACAGTTTATTTTCCCACTTACAGTTTATTTCTCAATATTTTTCGAGCAGGGCTCAGAGCTGGCCCTAGCATTGCCCTCCTGCCAAACAAAAAGAAACATGTTCACAAACAGAGGAGGATACCTTTTCCTGCCCTGCTTACGGGATAGAGGGCCTTTGTTTTTGGCCCTGAAGTGCCAGTTCTTCTCATAAACAGGCAGTCAGGTAGCTCCCACTCTAGGGAGGAGAGCAACCGCCCAACCCAGAGAAGTCTTTCTCCATAGGCATCTGGTAGCTTAGGCAGGGGAAGGCATTGCCTTCCCAAACTGCCAGGCATGGCCGCCCACATTCCACCCCCAGAACACCTGCTGCACGGTGCTCCGGGGAGGTGGGAGCTACACTGTGATCTCTCCTCCCTCCCCCAGTGCTCCAGGGGCAGGACACGCACTGTGCACCCTCCTCCCTCTGCTGGGGAGGCTGGGGTGCATGCACGTGCCCCTTCCCCTCTCCATGAGGGGTCAGGGCCTAAGCAGAGGGGGTGGAGCTGGGGGCCTGCCTCCCGCAGCCCCAGCTGCACCAACTCCCCATGCCTTTCTCCCTCCTGCTACTAGACTTGTAGCAGCTAGTCTTCTTGGGTATGTCTACACTACAAAGTTAATTCGAACTAACGGACGTTAGTTCGAATTAACTTTGATAGGCGCTACACTAGCGCTCCGTTAGTTCGAACTTAATTCGAACTAGCGGAGCGCTTAGTTCGAACTAGTTAAACCTCATTCTACGAGGATTAAGCCTAGTTCGAACTTACTAGTTCGAATTAAGGGGTGTGTAGCCACTTAATTCGA